GCAGGAATCAAATAATTATTTTCCCCACTGTAAGTCCAGTATTCACTCCCACCCTGAGAAAACTCTCTCACTCTTTATGTCCATTATTTTCACAAACTAGCTGCTAACTCTGGGTTGTTTAATGCTGGGCAGGGTAAAGCGTTGGGTTTACAGTACCAAAGCTGTTTCACTGAAAACTGCTTTTTGTATCGATTAATTCAGCTTTAAAAATGTTAACCCTGAAAGGCTGTAAAAAATGTTTCTCTTTCTTACCAAAAGTACTAATTACTAATAACAACATCATTCATATACTGTACAATTACCTTATAGAATAAGAGGATGAAGTTGATTGCAAAGGCAACAAACAGTGCCAACATCCTCATGTTGTAGAAGTTCCTGGCAAAGTAATTCTGTAAGGGAGACAGAAAGAGGAGCTGCTTATGTGTTTCTGGGTGAACAGAGCACTTATTTACAGACCTAAAACTACTAAAATTATTGGCTGCTTTAAAACTGTGCAGTTCAAATTATAGTAGGGATGGGCAATAACTTTTGAATATTCATTCATTCATTCATTTTCTACCGCTTAGTCCCTGAATGGGGTCATGGAGGGAGCCAATCCTGGCCGGCAATCGGGTGAATACACCCTGGACAGGTCGCCAATCCATCGCAGTTGGAATATTCAAATAGTCATTAAATTTTAAAAAATCTAATACTTTATGTAACTATGGTTTTGTCTTTAAAAACAAAGAGCCTGAACTGTTTTCCTTTGCTTTTACCAACACCTAGAAATAATGCAATAACAAGGTCAGTATATCATTTTACTACAGCGGCAAATACAAACAGCAGAAACATATTCAGAGACTACAGCGATCAAAATGTTCTGTGTGCAACTTCTTCGAGAGGAAAAACATAATGGACAGATTTTTCAGCGCATATCATTATGTGACAGCATCTAATAATGAATTAAATATCAAACCTCTAAGAGCAGAGCCTGAAAAAATTGCCACTATACAAAATATTTTAAGTCATTTAACCATCCAGTCAGTGGAAAGTTAGTTTACATCAAGGATTTTATCACTTGTAAAACAAAAAATGTTATTTACATGATACAATGCTCATGTGTAAAACTATAAATAGGGGAGACATCTCGCTCACTTAAAGAGTGTATTACAGAACACAGGATTTTTTACTTTAAAGGTTTATTTCCAGGAGGTATGAATGGAGATTTTTCAATGAATTTCTACAGTGGGGTCTAGTTTTTTGTGCTCATGTGCTCCAATTGTACGCTCTATTGTTTCTCTTAACTATTTAATTTCATTTTGTGTTATCTAACATATGTATGTGGTGTCACCTGCTTGAGTTATACACTTTTGCCCCTTTGTCAGTTTGACCTTTGAATGTGACTGACCCATAACCATGACCATATACTTAACTTATGTGTATGTTTTTTATTGGCCGACATGTATGAGCTATTCACTGTCAAATTTGGGCCACAGTTAATGCACCATAATGACACGCTATGCATTTACATTAGTAGTGGATGTTAAACATTGTTTTTTATCTGTCTGTGCTGACACACTGGTGGTAGGATTGCTGCTAAGGCAGAGTAGACTACATTAGAAGCATGGCTATCCAAAATACAGTGGAAACCCACGGGCTGGAAACGTGAATGAAGCCACTCACATTGACTTGTCACAACGTGTCAATATCATGCCTACTTTTCCCCCCCATGCAAACCCTCACCCCCGACCAATGCAGCAGGGAGTTGCGCTTTTGGCGGACTAATGTGAATGTACCGTCACACTCATCATACCAGCCTGACTTTGTTATCTACTTATATTGCATGACAGCTTTTGCCTCGGTGAGAAATATTGTCACATTTTAATACCACAAGATCTCATGGCACAAGATCTTGTCACACCCCTAATGAATAGTTTCAAAATTGGCCTGAAAAACTAAGTTGACAGTGGGAGCTCATGACCACTACTGTAAAAGCAACTGAAGAGGACAGAAAGGTATAATGTACCAGTAGTTTCCTTTGGTAGGCTATGATCTTCTTCAAGAATGCAGACTCCTGCAGATCTGGTTCATCAGACTTTGAGGTGTGATGTCTTCTAACTTTTGGCTTCATCTTCTCATTCTTCAATTGTTTCTCTGTCTGTCCACTTCTGAAATCACAACACAATACATTTACACACAGCAAGCAATACAGTGCTGCTCCATTGTGTCTTCACCCATCTGACTGCATTTTTAGATTTTGGAGGGTTAAGCAAATGGACTGGTAACTGTTACTCACTACAACATAAATTATAACCAAGCTTTTACTATTTTCAATTGTAGTGAAACCCTCTGAACTGATTTACACACTGTGACATGGTTTTTAAAAGAACTGTCTATAAACCAAAGCTAAATTATAAATGAATGTATTTTACATGTAACTATGTAATATTTATTATATGTGTGCTCCTGTATGTGCCTATAGATTGACCATCACTGTTGACGCCACACCTGTTCCTTTTCCCAGAACAGCTGATCTCCTCGGTTGACACTCCTCAAGATCAAGACCTTTTGAGATCGCTTATATTCAACTGCCCAACCTGCTGCCTGCTCCTGAGTCAGCCTATGGCCAACGACTCATCACCAGTTGGTTGGTCATGTTCTACAGCCCCGTCTTCGCCACTGGCCTCCTCCACATCCCAACTCTCTGGAGGGGCTCTGCCTATGCCGTCTGCCTCCATGTCTTGGCCCACCTGAGCAGCACCTGCTTCCTGTGCTTATGTTACAAACTATGGTTGGTCTTAGGTTAAAGATTAGTTTTAGGAGAGCCTTGTTTTACATTCTTGTTTAAGGAGTAACATCTTAGCTTTTGTATTTTCTGTAATTTTCTAGTCTTCAGCCTTAGGTTACTCTTTCTCTTGCTCATTTTGTTCTGTGTGCAGTCCTGATTTCTTCTGCCTCAACATCTGCCCTAGTGTCCTCCTGTTTATGTACCTAAAGTTTATAATAAACCCCTGTTTACCCCTCTGTCTTTGCCTAGTGTTTGAGTCCAAATAGTATAAAGTTAAAATACCTGTTGTAACTAACAGATTGCATAACAACAATGTGTACATACACTGATGTTTTCTCAGGTACACATTCAGTCTCTGGTGTTCCTTCTTTCTCCTCTGAGGAAGACGTCTTCAGCTGAAACAGAATACACTGTTAGACACACAACCCAGGGGTTGGGTGAGTGAGCTGTGGCCAGTGCAGACCTAAAGCAACAAAATACAACATTTTTATATTAAAATAATATCTTCAAAATCACTTTGATGGTAGACTGACTCCTAATAAGGTGAATGGTATCTCTGCTATTGTCACTGCATGCCTATATCCTCTGTTATTGCACTGTGTAGCTTTGTATTACCACCCTAGAGACCTCTCGTGAGAACTGCATAATGCTTTACAGCAACAGACCCTTTCGCTAGCTTAATATTCACACATGCGGAGACAAATCCCTGGACCTTTGATTTTTAAAATATTTTTTCAAGTGACAAAATAACCACTTAGATTATGAATATGTGGCAAATCTATTCAAGTAATGCCTATTTGGAAATTTTCTCTGATGCTTTTGGAGCAGTGACGACCCACTAGTAGACCAAACTAACTCTCCTTAGCAGGCAGCTACCTCTGGTTCACAGTTAAGTTGTCAGCAATAACACTGGTGTACATGTTGTACATTGAGAATGTCCTCCCATCATCGGGAGTTTGGACTCACTAACTTGTAATACTTATTACTGCTGAATACAGTAACTGATTTGTCTACTGTGATATTGAACAAGCTGTGCAACAGGACATGGACTAAAGCGCACACATAGCAGTACATAGTATCGCGTATAGTGAGAAAACATCCGTCACATAGATATACATTTACATGGTTATGATCTGTCCAGCCAAAGCATGTAAAAACCTGTTCAACACAACACACCCCCAGAACTACAGCATCACCAGAGCCTAGCCACAGCCAAGAAGAAGAGGAGAAGAGAGAGCGGGAAAGCAGCCAAGAATAAATATCATTGGTGAGAGCTAAAAATAACCCTGTCAGGGTTACTAACTGTTAATAGCTACTGTCCTGACGTTGCTGTAGAGATCTGCTAAAATGAAAACAACATCATCACCACAGCAGAGTCTACACCTGTGCTAATGTTATTTATGAAGTACTTCAGCGTAGGCTGTAACCATATTGATGTCATCCTGTCTCATTGTGGTGTCATGCTTCGGTTCCGCTGCTTCCTGTCATGCTTTTATTTTGACATTACTTCCTGTCTTTGTTTCACCTCAGTTTCGGTCTTTTTACTTTAATAATCACTCACATTAGTTTCACCTGCTCCCAATTGTTTGCACCTGTTTTCACCGCATTATAAGCAGCCTTCCCCCACCAGTCCCCTGCCACATTGTTCTAGACTTCAGCTCTAACTCTCCAGCGTTTTTGGTTTTGGTATTTTGTGTTTTGACCTGGATCGTATACGTTGATAATTCTGTTCTGTCTTGCCCTCTTGTTTCGGACTGCTGCCCTGTGTATGAATTATTGGACTTCTCTTGTGGACTACGAACTTTGGATTACCTTGGATGTATGTGTTTGCTTGCTCTGACCACGGACTGTATTGTCAACCCGTAAGTGCGTTGTATGTTACACCATGTCTTGTCTTGTTTTTCTGTTCAGCGTTAGTACTCTTAATAAAGAGACGGTTTTGTTTCACACATCCTCGTCTAGCCATTTAATCGAGTTCACCACAACATTTTTGGCAGCTTCACGCACCGATCCTGACACCTGGCTCTAACCATCGGGGGCAACTTGGGTGTTCAGTACCCTGCCCCAGGACACTTCAACATGTGGCCTATAGGCACTGTGATTCAAACTCCCAACCCTCCAGTTGGGAGACTGCTCTACCCAATGAACCACAGTTGTCCCCATCCGCTGACGTGAAAACAACATCACCACCACAGCAGAGTCTACACCTGTGCTAATGTTATTTATGAAGTACTTCAACCCTGCCCCAGGACACTTCAACATGTGGACTATAGGCACTGTGATTCAACCTCCCACCCCTCCAGTTGGGAGACTGCTCTACCCAATGAACCACAGTTGTCCCCATCCGCTGACGTGAAAACAACATCACCACCACAGCAGAGTCTACACCTGTGCTAATGTTATTTATGAAGTACTTCAGCGTAGGCTGTAACCATATTGATGTCATCCTGTCTCATTGAGATTTGTAGTTTGTTTTTTTTTCCAAAAAGTCATCTACCTCCATCCCCCAAACAAATAAATTCATCTCAGGCCAGAGAGACTGCTCAGGCTTTTTCACTGTCATGCCAGATGAGAATTTGAAGTTTGCAGCCTAACAAACCCATCTCAGCTGGCTGGTAATAAATTACACTGCCCAATGGATATTATGTGCAATATGAGCCTAAACTGTGTCACCAGCATTTCATTCTATTACACACATCCACCTTCAAATGCTTAGCAAACTAGCTGAAAATCTGACCAGAATTTCAGTAGAACAAAAAAACTGCCATTATTTGCTATTTTTTTGTTGTGAGTATTCACCTTGGATGTCACAATAAACAAAACGAGTCATATTTGTATAAAATCCTCCAATATTTTTTTTTTTTTTTGTAATTCTTTTTTTTTCTTTAATATTTTAAAGGATATGGCAACATTTGAATCAGAATCTGATGATGCCAGTGGGACATTCAGTTATTGTCAGTCAGTGGTGGAAGAAATACTTTACAGTAGTAAAGGTAGCAACACCACAATGGAAAAATACTCTGTTACAAATAAAAGTCCTGCATTCAAAATGTTACTTACGTAAAAGTACAAAGTCTAGACTCTAGGCATTAAAAAAATACTCAAGGTACTAAAAGTACTTATTATGCAGGATGGCACATTTAACATTAATATATATCATATTATTGAACTGTACTTATCATCTGAACAGTTGGGTCTCTTGTGAACTTTCCATCGGCGATCAACAGTCTTATACTGTAATTTTTGTTTTAATCTGGTTCTAAAACGTAACTAGTAACTAAACATAAAATAAATGTAGTGAAGTAAAAAGTACAACATTTGCCTCTGAAGTCATAGTATGAAGGAGCACGAAATGAAAACAGTCAAGTACAGATACCTGAAAATTGTGCTTCAGTGCTTGAGTAAATGCACTTAGTTACTTTCCACCACTGCTCTGTTATATCTGATCAAAACACACCTACACAATGAATTGGATTAGATTATAATTGTTTTTGACTCAATAAATAATACCTAAGGATTATTTTTTCCAAACTTTGATTTGACTGTGGCTTATTTAGTCATTACTGGCAATGTCAACCTGATGGTTGGTCCACCACTTTGAACAAGACTGAAGAGTTTCCATAACTTTTGAATGGATTTCCATTAAATACGGTTCAGACATTCATGTTCCCCTCAGGATGATTTGTAATCATACGGTGTTCCTATAACACTTCATATAGCACCATCAGGTAAAATGTGTTGTTTGTTCAATATTTTTATTTCTGAATACCTGCAAAACTAACGTTCCCATCAGCTTCAGCTGTATTTTGTGTTTAGTTCTAATTAGCAAATGTTAGCATGTTAACATTGATGGTGAACATGGTCATCATTACACCTGCTCACCATCAGCACATTGTCTTTATAACCATATTAGCATACTGACATTAACATTTAGCTCAAAGCACCACTGTACCCAAGTACATGGCTGTAGACTCTTTGAAGCTAAATATCTACCACTGATGACTGACTCTTGATTTGCCCATTATTTAAAACAAGTTATGTATTTAAAAAAGAACTGGGAAAAAGGAAATTAGTAAGGAAAATGAACAAAGTAGTTCAACAATCCCACCAATGTTTCTTCTTCTCACCTGGTGCCTTTGTCTGAGCTCAGGTGGGGGTGCTGTGGGTGGTGTTTGTAGGTTTTGGGCAGGAACTGGGGAGTTCAGCAGTTCAGCTAGACTAGCATTGGGGTTATGTGGGGTGATCTTGTACTGGCCCCCCTCCCTTTTTAAGTCCAGACCAAAAATGTCCGAAAGCAGCTCGGTCTCATTAATGTTTATTGCCAGGTCAGCCAGGTCCTCCTTCAGGGAGCCGTGGTCAGATGGTCTCTTTTCTCTGTCCTCTCCTTCACCACGCACCTCATCCTGGGTGGGATCAGGCATGCTGGCCAGCAGCTCTGACACCTAGGGATGAAGAAAGTTTAGGTTTTTAGGAACAGTTCTTAGCATATTTCATTTGTTTAACAGCCAGACTGTGGATACACTGCTCTATTCTTATCAGATTATGTATAATAACCTTTATGGTCTTAGCCCCCTCCACCAGATTGCCTCCTATGAAAGTGCTGTAGAAGATTCTGCAAAATCCTCGAGCCACACTGAATGCTACATGGAGAAGGCCCAGCAACACCGACCAGTAGAAGGAGACCAGGGTAGTCACCATGTCCTTCACTGTCATGTTCTTTATCTTTTTCATTTGCTTCTTCAAGCTTTTCATAGATAGCACCTAAAAACAGAGTAAAAATACTGGTTAGTTCCAGTGGCACTGCTGAGTAACACAAGGACAGTTCAATGTCCAAAGTTTCCACATAACCCTACCAAACATCATGAACACTCATGTTTCCTCAAATAAGACCGAATAGGCCGAGGTCTAAGACTGCTCATCAGTACTGAACCAACTACAGTTATGAACAGCACAGTCTTGTTATCTGACAAATTATAGGCTCAAAGTTTGGAAAACGTCTGTATTTGTATATTTGTACTCTTAATTACTGTACCTCTAGGTAAAATGGTCGCATTTATATGTATATAGCATATTTCAATTAGGGGCAATTCAAAGTGAATTACATAGGCAAAGAAAAACAATAATCATTCAACACCAGAATAAAATCAATTAAGACAAATAAAGATAAAACATTGGTAAATGAAATAAAATACATAAAATGAAAATAAAAACAAAGACAAAAAAAGAAACACAATTATACCGCAGTTACAGTTCAGTAATAAGTTGAAGTTGCCCCAAATACAACACAGGAATAAAAAATGCAGCACAGAAACCAATTAATCAAAGGCACAGAAAACTATGGAGTTTTCACTTGACATTTGAAAGAGGCTAGAGCTGGGGCACATTTAAAATTAATTAAATTAATCAGGAAGTTGGTTCCATCTGCTGAACTGGGTTTATATTTTTCAAGGAGATCAGAAAATGTGTTTTGACCTCATTTTACAGAATGCTTTATCAAACAGCAGTAGCACCTTAAAATCTATTTTGTAGGTAGCCAGTGTAAAGATGTAGGGCAGGAGCGATACTATATGCTCAGTTTTCCTGGTTTTTGTGAGCTCAAGTTGTCTAAGAGTCATTTTTGGGAAGACCACAAAAAAGACCATTTCAGCAGACCAGTGCACTGGAGATGAAGGCTGAATGAGGTTCTGTGAAGCTTGTCTGGAGATGGGAAGTCTTAAGTTTTGCTATTTGTTTGAGTTTGTAAAATACTGATTAGGTTATGGCTTTGTGGCTGCATATCAGAATTTCATATCTTCATATACGGTATCTTTCATAGTGTTGAAAATTTAACTAGAAAATGTAAAAATTACTTGGTTTTTGGTGGTGGGATTATTTGGGTAGGGCCATTTGTTGACTAATAGCAGTGTATCCATGCACCTAGCACTTATGTGCAGCATTTTTAACCAGACACTGAAGACACAGACATCAGATTGGTATAATTACTCTTTTCTCACTCTTGGAAAAAAAAACAAAGGCATATTTTCAGGAATGTTCATCTACTGTTTAGCATACTCAAAAATATGCCCACATCCTTTTGTCGACCATTAGCTGTGCTTGGTGCAGGGTGTGAGCGTACCTTTATCAGCAGCATAACATTGTATCGCAGAGCCAACAGAGCCATGCAGACAGTGGTAACAGAGAAGAAGCCCATCTCAGCGTTCTCCTCATCTGGTTTTCCCCTTTCACTCTCTTCTTTCATCGCTGATCGTTCACCAGCATCAGACATCTGAGCTGCCAGCTGCATTTCAAAGATGGTGTCCTCACAGAAATTCACAAACAGCTCCATCTTCTCCTTCTCCCCACCCTTGTTCACCACATCAAATATGAACTGACGTTTGGATTCTTTGATCTGGGTAGTGGGTAAATACATGAAAACAGGAAGCTGGGAGGAGATGTGTTGGTACTATTGAACACTGATACAAAATCAAACTCTCTTTGAAGTAATAATCTCAAAAACAAATGCTATATTAATTCATGTATGTACCATCTTTACCTGTGGTTTCTCCCACTGTGTTCGACTGGACTCACTGATCTCAAAGTAGACCCTCTCGATGCGTTTGGCACTGCCCATGATTTCAATCCGGCCCAAGTAGGGTTGGAAGTAGTTGAGGACACTCTCTGCCAGCTCCAGGAATGTCTGCAGCCTCGTATCATGAGGCATGTGCTCCGACAGGTTGGTCAGCAAAACCGCCACATTGAAGCCAATATCCTTTTAAATCACAGTTTAACGTAAAAAGAAAACATTTTCCTTTTCCAGCATGTTTCTCACTACATAGGTTTTAGCACCACTCAACCTTAACATCTGGATGACACAATAGGGATTTCTAAAATGGTTACATCAAATACACAAAATAATCTGCCATCTAGATCTATTTTTTCAGGTAAATGTGAATTGTTACACTGTACCCCGTGACCCCGTTCGGGACTAAGCGGTTTAGAAAATGGATGGATGGATGGATGTTACACTGTAAATTATTGGCTGTAATCTAAAGCCTTACCCACATTTGAAAAGTGAAATTAAGTGACAGCTGGCCCGCTAGCTGCTATGTTGGTGCATATCTACCACCATACCAACTACTCAGAAAGTTTTTAATACTTTAAATTATTTTCAGACAAACAATGCAAACATATTACAGCGATTTCTAAGGATTCTGATTGCATTCAATCACTCAGTGTGATAAAGTATAAAATTAAATGGAAAACACCAAATTACAGTATTTTCTAATAAGTGTTAAGAAACTAACTCTTTTTTGTCCAAATTCAATATAATTTAAGCAAGTAAGGTCATTCCGATCCTCCCTTAAACCAACAAAACAGTGGGATTAATAAGCGACCTGGTAACAAAGAAGTCAAAGGACAAGGAATGCTCCATGCTGTTACTGAGAATAAAATCCAAAGAAATTTGCCAAATTACCAATTCTACTCTGATACTGATAAAATAATATAAACTCCTTTATCTAGTGAAACAAATGGGAATAGGAAAAAGAACACAAAAAGAGAACTTTACAAATCTCATGCTTGAATGCTGTGACATGGTGCCATAGTCTGTCTGGCCATTGGGAGCACCTGGAGAAATCCCAGTGGGTCCACCATACAAAAACAGGAACAAGTGAAATGCATCATTGGCCCACAGTGATTATTCACAGT